GAGGAAGAAATCTCTCACTTTCCTTCCACTCTTACAATCTCTCGAAGAATTCCTCACACTTTTTACACTCTAACAAACACTAATGAAACTTTTCTAACCTCTAGAAACTCTAGACTCTCTTCCAAAACCCCTCAATTTTTGGCCAAAATCTACTTTTAAAGTTGTGGATGAGCTTTCCCAAGAGTTGCCTAAGCATCCCTTCAAAATTTGGCTTTATCCAAAGCTTGAGTAGGCATAACCACCGAGCTCGTCGTTGGCGGCCTCGAGGGCGCCAACAGGGCGCCGTTGGCGGACTTCTGAAGAATTTTGTCTTGTAGCCTCGGGAAAAACTCACCGAAAAACTCACCGGCGGCGGCGTCGAGGGCGCTGTCGGTGGCGTTGATGGCGCCGTCGTCGCTCTAGTTCAAATCTCCACATTTTGGTCCTTTTCGCTCCAAATTCGCTCATTTTTACATCTTTTTGCTCAATTGACCCTAATTCAGCATTCCTGTAATAAAATATCAAAAATACCTTTCTTTAAAGTGCAATATCATAAAAAATTATGTAAAATAGGTATGAAAATCTCAACATATTTTTCCTTGGTCAGTTATAATATGTATGTTTTCTAGTATTTAGAAATTTTATAGAAATTTGGATGGTCAAAAGTAAAACACAACTGTCATTCCTGATGGTGGAAAAGAGAAACCATATTTTTTGTTGCTAATAGCAAACTTGAACACACGGCTGTCATGTGTGCTACCTTCCCAACCAGCCAGCACATAGGTGAAACACATGTTGAAATCACAAAAAGCCATTACATTTTTTGTTGGGGATCTGCACCTTCCAATGCATGCAACTTTCTCTGTGCCAGAAATATGTGCATCAACATGTGTTCCGTCAATAGCTCCGATGCAATCCTGTGATGGACGATTTTATCAATAAGAAAATCATGTGTAAAATTGTAGTAATTAAAATTTTTAAAATTTAAATTGGGAATAAAATTTAAATTGGGAAAGCACCTTAAAGATCGACACATATCGAGGGTCATTTGCAAAATGAGTGGGGATGGACTGGAATGTTGGGTCCTCTGGCTTGACTATTTCACGTGCCATACTCATTAGCGCATTCAACTCAACTGAGAAATATCTACTTATGGTTTTTGAGGAATGTTGAAACCGTTCCATAGCTCCTCTAATAGATTCATTCTGAGATAAAATGTAAAGTATTATTGTTAACACCTCTCTAGTTGTTGTTCTTGATGAACCATGCAATCCATGAAGGGTCCGAAGTTCATTAAGCAGGTCCAGAAAAATTGTTTTTGTCATACGAAACATATTTGCAAAACATGTCGGGTGACCATGAAATAACTCCTCGATCCATCTATCTCCAATATTACGAGATGTCATGCATGGGTTTCGATCAACATATCCATGATAGCAATGATATGCGGATTTGATTAATTTGTGCTTCATCCATAATATAAAAATCTGAAAAAAAGATAGATTTTTAAATAAGATAATAAATAATATGTGACAATGGCAACGATACATAGACTATATATCCATTATTTAAAAAATACAATACATTAAACGAGTCCATCACATTAATAGCACATAAGAAATAAATGGATAGGAGTTCATCAAATAAATAGTCAATCTAACCCAACAGTAGTAATGAAGTTACATTAATAACATTCAATCTTTAATAAAAGAACGCAAATAGGGAAGGCAGAATTCTGGGTCCAAAGTTTCAAAGAACTGTCTGCGGGTAGAGTTCCGTAGCAACTTCACATACTTAACATACATAGCTTGGTCTTCCTTAATACCGGGATATGTGTTAAGAATCTTAACACACTCCTGAATAGTGTTGTCCTTCGCCGTTTTTAAATTATTTTTGCAAGTTTTAATCAAGGTCTCAATAGAACCTCAAACAAATGCAAAGCCTTTTTTATTTTTTGCAGGTCGGGGACGCTTTGTTCCACCAGTGAATTGGATATCTGTGAGGATTTGGTTGTGACCTTCTCCTGAATCACCTATATGCTCAGTCTCCATATCCTGTGCTAAGTTTGCGAAGCCTTATCCATTTGGGGTGAAAAAACGAGCCCCTGTTGCTATAACGCCAGTAAACATACCATCCAACTTATCCTCCAAAGTTGGTTCAATGCCAGTCAATTTGAATTTTTTTGTTGTTGGCACTGCCTGTAACAACAAGAAAAATGTAATCAATATTCAAAACATTTGACTTTAAAAATACGTTGAAATAGTGATGTAATTATATCTAACTTTTCTGCCCACCATTCCTCAGGTGCATCAATTGTCCGCTTTAGCGGATGCCATCTCAATCCAATTGATCCCCTTTTGAGCTCTTTCCAAAGTTTTCAGTCATTTTTTAATTGATCTCATTTGTTTTTTTAGTTTCATCTGATCGTAATCCCTTCCAATTATTTCCTTGAATTTAGTCGTGAGATTTTGCCAATATTTTTTATTAAAATAAGTAGTGGGTCGATTTCCCAATTCGACCTCTCTCAGACATAGATCACAAAAAATATTAGTAGCCTCTTTATCCCACATAGCCGATGATCCAGACTCTTTAGATTTACTCATTTTTTATTGTGACATGAACAGATGGTAAGATGACATGTATGTAATACAATCACATATTCACAAAAAAATTATTGCATATTTTTTAAAATTTTTAAGAAAAAATTGATATAACTGTAGACTTTTTGTACCAGCATAGGACAGTCAACTGCATACAAAAAAAATTGATATAACTAAAGACAAACAACTGCAATACAAGAACTTTGTATTTTCTAGCAACATTTGGCTACAACATAAGCTAGCAAACACCAACATGATCTCAAATTCAAATTAAGAAACCTCATTCATATCAAAATTTAGCCTCAATATCAAAATTTAGCCATCAAAATTTAGCCTCATTGATGCAAAATCAGCAATACTCCACGCTTACTCAATATTATAGGGCTATTTGCAATACATAAATAAATTAGGCTCCTTACATTGAAACTAAAGTTACCTCCTCATCTCTAGATCCACTCTATTTGTCACATTTCTTTGCTAAAACCTTATAATGAAAAACAACAAGTTACACAACACAGAGCAACCATAGGATAATTCATTGAAGAACCATAGCATCATCCAACTAGCAAACATCTTCAGCTTGCTGCAAATCTTCCATAGTCTAATACCTCCCTAACAACAATACAATGTAATATTGTTATAATTATATCCTAATAATAATAATAACATGGTGGCACTAAAAGATGGAAAGATGGAATTTTTCCATTATATTTTGTTTTGCAACCAATTTGTAGGTTATATCAACATCTCAATACACCAAAGAGATCTACTTGCCTGCATATGACTCACTGTGCAGCAATGAGTGAGATAAATGGAAATGAAACTTGATTTGCATATACAAGGACCACTCATTTTGATTTGCATTAAAAAAAATAATTTGAAATGAAACTGCTAACATTAGTACTGAATTTCAAAACCCTATAAGAACTCAACAAAATTTAAACGATGTTCACAGTAACCTTGAACCGCATTTGTTGTATTTTCTGGCATTATTATGGATCAAATGTGGGAGCATATTTCTCAAAAACCTGAAAGTTCTCGCACCACAAAACCCTCGCACCACAAAACCACCTGAAAGATCTCGCACCACAAAACCCTAAAAGAATCGCTTCTTACTAAAAAAAAATGTAAACAGTATCCTTTCGTATGGATCTAACAGTAATCATAAACTAGAAATAGTTGTATCACACAAGAATGCCATGAAACCCCATATACAGTCCCGCAGGAAAAAACACCTAGTGGGGAGGACGAGACGGGAGAGGAGAAACCCAGAAAATGCAAAGAAGAAGAAGAGGAGGAAGGAGATGAGGGTGCACGAATTTGTTTTACCACTATACGCCTTCTTCTTGGGTAGCTAGGGCACGATCGGTCGAGCGAATAACGGGGCAACTGAAAACGCAAAGAAGAAGACGAACATGACACGATCGCCCGAAAACGCAAAGAAGAAAAGAGTAAGAAGATGTGGATGCACGATTTGTTTTACCACTTTATGTCTTCGTCTCGGGTAGCTAGGGCACGATAGCACGAGCAAAGAGCAGGGCAACCGAGAGCAGCGCGAGGGCAATAGAGGAAAATGACATGACCAAAGCGCGGTCCGCGCCTATAGCCCCGCGTTCACTGTTTACCCTAAACAGTGAAACACGAGTTTTCAAACCTCACTGAAAACGTGTTTACCAAACACTAAGGCGGTGTTTTCAAAAACTCCGTCACACTTTTAAGTTGTCCCAAACGAGGCCTAAGTTTAACGTCAAATTAAATTGTATTGCTTAGAATCATAAAATCCTTCTTTTGTTTCATGTTAACGTATCTTGTTACTGCAAGAAGCTGTATGACTATTTTTTCAAAATTAATTACTTTGATTATTGAAATTTTAATATTTACAGAATATATTAAAAAATAATAAGTCAAAATATTCTAATCAAAATGAATCTAAAAGACATTAATATTTTATTTGAGGTGATCAACTATAATACATGAATAGCTAATTAGAAGTTTAAGTCACAATCATCTAAAAATAAAATAATAATTATTATTTTCTTACGCCACATTAATAGTTTTGTCGGCTTATATATATATATATATCATTTAAATAAAACTTAATTTCATAAATATTTGAGTATTTTAGTCGAAATTTAGAGTGGATTCCGATTGAATTTTGATTTTTTTTTTATTTTTTTAATCGCTTTACCTTGGAAATTTTGATTTGTGAAGTTCATTTTGGAAACGTTAAATTAAAATGAAGATTAAAGCGTCAAAATAGTTTCTTGTTATTTAAATAAGATTTATTTTATCCTATATTTTATAGAAGCATTAAAATAATACCTAATTATTTTAAAATTGAGCTATAATATTTTTTGCAAAAGAGTCATTTTTGCCCCAATTTAAAAAAATTGAGGATTAATTTGATATTTTTATAAATTATGAGACTAAAATGAACAAATATAAATAATTGGGGTTATTTAGCACTTAAGGCTTAAATTAAATTAAAAAAGAAATCAACAATCGGCTTAAAAATCTACAATGTCTGAAACTATGCAGTCGAAATACGATCATCGGCGCCTCCATTACAATTACCTCATAGCAATCCTCCTTCCTTCACGCACAACCAAACACAAATCTCCTTCACAATTCTTCTTTGATGAACTCCCCTCTCCATCCAAATCTCCGGCGGCCGTCGTCGACGGCGACACCGCCGCCACTCCCTGCTCAATATCCCCACCTCTCGCGCTGCAAGAAGAACCAAATCCCCTGCTCCCCATGCTCAGTATCCTCCTCAGCGGTCTCAAACTCCCCAAATTCGGCGACTTTATGTCCACAGCCGAAACATTCCTACTCGAATGCAATGCAAAAGCAGAGCTTTCCAATGCAATTCCCTGTATATTGATGGCCATGATTCGACCGGACTTCCTCGAAACAGAGCAGATCGAACTCGAGCTTCCTTCTCCTGAGCCATCCACCGGCAAAGCTCTGTTATTTATGGCCGTACTCTGCTCCCAACCGATCAAGTTCGTGTTTTTCGATTCGACGGCCGGCGGTTTGATGGAGATCCGACAGATGGGACAGGTGGAGTTGGAACCAAACCATGTGTCGATACACTCGAGATGGAATCCATGGCGGCAGCCGGGAAGAAACCTGACGGGTTCGCCGTCGGCGAGCTCGGAGAGGCACACGGCGCACTCCATGCCGTCCTTGAAAGCTGAAGAAATGAAGATGGTGACTGGAAGCGATTTAAGCACGGTGGGATCGAGCGCGCGGCGGTGAAACGCGGCGAGGAGAGTGCTGGAGGCGGGGAATATGAAGCGGGGTGAGGAGCTCTCGTGAGCGGGGTTGGCGCCGAAGTAACGATTAGCGCGAAGGAATAGAATGAGAAAGATGACAAAGAGGAAGAAGACGGCGATAACGCCGGACAGCATGAGCTTGCCGGTGACGGAGATGGAGAGACCGGGAACGGTGTTTCCGGCCACGGGCGGCGGTGCTGTCGACATGGCTGAGATCAAAGCTGGATGGTTGAGTTATGAGTGATGGTAGAGTTTTCTTCAATCTTTATCTTTGTTGAACAAAGTTGGTTGCTTTGGGTTTGGTGATTAGGAGGTGGTTATATATAGATTAATGGCGGCCATGAACATGAAAGGAGTGGTTTTGATTTGGGCCTTCAAAAATGGAGGCTGTGGAGGTCCCCAGCTTTTGCTTGGGTTACTAATTCTGCCGGACTTGACGAGATTGAAGGCTGGAATTTGTTCTTTTGGGTTGAGAAAGATGAGAAGGTTTGTTGGCTTTTGGCTTTTTATTATTTTTTGAGGGATAATTACATTCATATTTGAAATTAGCATAAAATATTATATATTTTATAAGTATTTGTGGACATTAAATTATGATGACTTAGACTACCCCATCTATCTTTGAACATAATTAAAAAGCATGTAATAATTTCTTAGAAATTAGGCTTGAATGAGCCAAATCGACTCATTAGCCGAGCTCTATAAATAAGTGGCTCCCGAGCCACGCTTAACGAGCTAATTTAAAATCAACCTTGACTTGTTAGCTTGTGAGCCGATTCGTTTAAAAAAATATTAATATAAAATACATTTAAAATATATTAAGTTTCAAGATTTTATCTTTATATTATTTAAAATATAAAAAATAATATTTTTAATTTTATATGATTTTTTATTATTTTATTATAACACTAACTCAACCTTGACTTGTAATCTTTATATTATTAAAAATAGGCCGACTCAAACTCGTAGACTTAAACTTGAGCTTGAGCTCGAACACGATTAATTAACAAAGCTCAAGCTCAAGCCAAGGATAACTCGAACTAGACTTGACTCATTTTTATACTCTTACTTGAAATATTAATAATTACAAAACTAATCTTTTTGAAAGACTAGTTTTATTGTGATTATTAATATGAGAGTGAGAATTTGAAAATTGGATGCAAGAGGAAGCTTATTTTGTAAATAAATTTGTCTCTCCTGTTGGGTATACAATTGCCTCTTCTTTTTATTGATGTCATTGGTCTGTCGATTTCACTTGAGTGAGGAAGTTTAATCGTAAATTCACACAAATTAAAGTTGCAATATATATATATATATATATGTTAGGTATAAGTATTTCTCCAAATGGGCTTTTATATTCGTTAAAGTGGAGATTTGTTAGATATGACTCATATACCAAAATTTGGAGTCTCTTAGAGTGAAGATGTGTGTCTCTTGGAAATAAGTGAATCGGGAGGGGGGAGTGAGGGCGTGTTAATAATTTTATCTGTTAGTTTTATTTATATATATGATGTGTAACCCTATGGGTATGTACTTGACTCCTCTGAAATAGTGAATTCGCCGCTCTGCTCCCGAGGACGTAGGCATCTCTGCCGACCGAACCTCGTTAAATCAAATCCCTGTGTGTTCATTTGGATTTGTGTCGATTTTTATTTTTCTTAGCCCTAATCTTCTCAACAATATATCATAAAATGCTTATCAATTTTTATATCTATTATAGTCATAATAAAAAAACAAATATAAATGCACCTTCGAACTAGCAAATGTAAAAATCAAAATAATGACTGTCAACAGTCAAATCTAACGAATTTATCATTAAATAGGACGATTAAATAATAATAAAAGTAATTCAATTTGAGCTCAAGTAAGCTTAAATCAAGTAATCCCAATTATATTAAGAGATCAAATAATTTCTAAATTATAATTGAATTGAGTGTTTGAATGAGGTAAATCCAATGATTTAGTTATACTCTCAAATATACAAAATAATATTATACAATCAATAGTGTCATTATGAGACGTCCGATAAAGTGGTTTGGATTCAAACAGTATTATGAAGAATATCACTACTAAAGATTATTGAAATAGACTCCGGGGGTGGGGGCGGGTAGACTCAAGAGAGTTGCAAACTATGGAGGATTCTCGAGCTCTATCATCATCTACCAACCACCGCCCATGTGTGATGATAAAACATAATTATATTTGATTGTTTCATTTTTTTTAAGTAATTTTAGTATGTTTGTTGAGAATTTATGTTTTCAATCAAGAGATTTTGGGTTCGGAGACTTGCATATATAAATTTAGTGATGCTTGATATGATCAAATAACTGATATTTTTATGATTGAGACGCAAAAAAATGGGTTCAAATTATTTTACTTTAATCGAGTATTATCAATAATATAAAAATAATCTAAAAAAAAGTTATTCAACAAAGTTCAATCTTTTTAAGAAATCTATTTTTTATCTTCCAACATTAATTGCATAACATGGTAATACAGTTACATAGTATACGCAAATAAACTTCGAAAGTGTTGAATCCCTTTAGAATGTTTGATCAAATGTATGTATGATTTCATACAATTTGATAGAGATCTTGTGAAGGTGGTGCGGGGAAGCCGAAAATTTTTAGGGAGTTTTTCTCTTTCCACTATGGACACCAAAAATAGGAGGAAGAGGAAGTAGAAGCTTTTTTGCCTCCTCCCTTTTATCTCATATTTAGATATTATAGTGCATATGTGCCCACATAGTGCTCTAAAGAATACATAAAATATTATATATAGAGAACGAGACATGGAGTTACCCACCGTTGATAAGATCCTCGAAATGGATGCCAGACGGGCAAAAAATAGATATCTATAATGATGTCACAAAATTCTCTCATCTTTGCCTTAAAGAATTGCTCCTTGAGCTCGATGATCCAACTAGATATAAGTATCGACGAGCTCGACAGAAGACTTCATTAGTGCTAACGAACTCTATAAAAGATCGTGAGAAATATGAGAGAGCTCGTCTGAAGGTTCAGGATTGGTGTGTTGTGACAGAGGAATTCACATGAAGGCTAACAAGCTTCAAAGCTCATGTGAAATCATAGTATCCATCATAAAGAAAATAAAAATAAATACTATAAATTATTGGATGAATCAGTTCAGCATGGCCTCCTAAATTGATGGTGACTTTATTTAATTGCAATTGAGTTGAAGATTTGCTAAATCATGCTAACATAATTAGCATTTAGATTGATTAGTGATTTTTAAAACTAACCCAAGAGAAATAGTTGGTAAAAAACAGTTCATAGATTTTGTCCTGCAAAAAATGATGATTCAAGTAAAACAAATTATAAATAATAATTCAATATTAAATTTAGGGTCATTTACCATACCACCCAATTGCTATGTATTTACATATTTAACACGTAAAACTTGCTTTTTATACTTATACAACTCAAATCTTTCTTATCATGTCAAAGATATCATCATTTTAACTTTTATAAAGTTAAATACTTCTTTTCATGCATAGGTAAGTTAGCATGCATGCAAATCTCCCTTAAATTTAGTTGACATTAAAGATGATTACAAAGATATTGACAAAAAATAGTGGGATGGAGGACAATAGTGCCAAGAAATAATAATTATTTTGTGATGATATAGAAGATAATAAAAATTATAAGATTGTATGAATAATAGATAACATTTCTGTCGTTGTTGTTGATGAAATCATTTTGAATGGATTATAACCAATTCATGCACAATATATGAGGGCGTAGTTTCCCTTCGTGAGGACACGAGTTCGAATCTCATATATTGCCCTTTGGGATCACCTTCCCTGAAAAAAGAAAAAGGTTGAGCCAAAATTGGTGACTGTAAGCAATTCTTAATTAAGATAGGTCTTTCAAACATTCACCAATGGTTACAATGAAAATATGAAATTTTTCTAAGGATTTGTTGATGCCTAAGAAATGTTCTTTGAAACAGGTGAAGAGATTTATGGAACTCAATGGAATATAGAGCAAATTATGATTGTATTACCTTTTAATCCTTTGGAAATTTTTAAGTTATTCATTGGAGCAAGAATGAGTAAGAGTAAGATAATGGTGTGGTAATTTAATAAGTGGGTTGATAGGTTAGTTTGAGTGTTAATAGGTTAATTGGTTGATTATTTGGATTTATGGGATTTGGGTTTTGGGTATGATGTGTAGGCGGCCTAAGGTTTCGGGTAGGATGTGCAGATCATAGTCTAAAGTTTCATGTAGGCGTGAAATTGGGTAGGATTTAAATAATAAATAAATAAAAAAAAACATGACACTTAGTAGGACACAATGACGTTGTACTAATCTATAGAGCTACATCTATAGTACAGTTGAATATATATTTGAAGCATTAAATCGTGGATGCAAAACAAATTATATCTAGAAAAAAAAAAATAACCAACGAGTTTTTGGCTGGTGTTGATGAGTTTGAGTATATGGCATCACAGTTGCCCGTTTACTTTTCATAAGGTAGGTTCTGGTGCCCCCGTATGAAGCATAAATATCGAGCGTACCAGACACATGAAGAAGTGAAGTTGGACCTATACTGTAGGGGATTTAAACATGATTATTGGTATTGGAATTCACAGGGTGAATTTGAACCATATTTTCAATATTGTCATGCTGAAGTCTCTTCAAGTTATGCCCCTCAAACTATTCACGATCCCGACATGTATAGGGAAATGATTGATGATGCAAGCATAGCTCATTGTGTTGTAAGCGTGTCTGGTGCTGACCAGGAACTGAATAGTGAAACACAATAATTTTATGAATTATTAAATGTTGGACAACAACTATTCTGGGAATGATGCACTTCACACACAAAGTTATCGTCGCCCTGAGAATGTTGAATATTGAATCTGATTTCAACTTGCCCAGAAATTAATTTAATCAGGTAGCAACATTATTAAAGAAGACGAAACCCGCAGATGATTTAGTTCCATAAGATTTGTACATAGCTAAAAAGTTAGTGGTGAAGTTGAGGCTACTAATTGAAAAGACAAATTTTTGTGTCAATGATTTTATGTTACATTACAGAGAAGATACACACGAGATGAAATGTTGATTTTGTAGTACTGATAGGTTCAAACCAAGGGGAGAAAGAGTAAAAATTACAAAAATATTCCTTAAAAACGTCTCTTTTATTTTCCTCTCATTCCAAGACTCTAACAACTATTTGATTATATGCTCACAGCTCCCAACATTAATTGATATAATACTAGATATGTTAGAATTAATGCAATAACTCATTTCTTAGCTAGTGAAGCTTGGAAATACTTCAACCTCACTTATCCAGATTTTACAGTAGAATCATGCAATGTTAGACTTGGCATATATGCAACACCCAATTTATGTTGACTAGTTATTATCACATTATATAATTTGCCCCCTTAAATGTGTATGATTGTGTCGTTCTTATTTCTTACATTGATCATATTGGGTCCACACAACCCAAAGAGTAAAATTGACGTGTACTTACAACCTCTTATATATGAGCTACATGTATTGTGGGAAACCGACGTGTTGACTTATGACATTGCAATGAAGCAAAACCTTCACCTTAGAGCTGATCTTATGCGGGCGATCAATGATTTTCCAACTTATGGGATTCTATTTGGTTAGAGCACAACCGAGAAATTGGTATGTCCCTACTGTATGGACATGTCTAAATCATTCACCTCGAAGCATGGAAGAAATAATTTCTGGTCTAATCATCATCGAAGGTTGTTTGCACGTGATCCCCCATTCTAGATGAATAAATATGCATTTTTCAGAAAATAGAGTTGAAAGAATAGGTCCACTCCCATGGATTAGTGGAAGTGATACATTGCAGATGATCAGTGGAGTACCAAATATTGCTAGAAGCCGGAATTAGCCTCGAGTCGTCTTCCTGATTATGACGTTACAAATAATTGGATGAAGCATAGTATTTTTTGAGATATTTCATATTGAAAAACCAATCTGATTAGACATAATCTGGATGATATGCATATTGAAATGATTTTTCTTATAATATATTTAATAATGTTCTGGATATCTAGGGAAAAATAAAGGACTATATCAAAGTAAAATTGGACTTGAAAGAGTACAGTGAGAAGAAGGGATTAAAACTTCAAGAGAAAAACATATGTAAAGTAATAAAGCTCAAAACAATATATTATCTCACATCAGATCAACGAAAGACAATCTTTGAGTGGTTGCATTCTTTGAAGTTTTCAAGTGGTCGTGCCTCTAACATACACTGATGTGTTGATTTGGGGACGGGAAAATTATTCGGTATGAAAAGTCACGATTACCATATTTTCTTATAGTGCTTATTACGTTTTGCATTTAATGCCCTGCCAAATTCGATACTCGATCCATTGATCGAAATCAATATGTTTTTCAGGGAGTTGTGCGCAAGACATTTTGAATGTCGATTCTCTAAAAAGCCTTGACATGAGAAATTTATTAATTCTATGCAAGCCCGAACGAATATTTCCTCTCAATTTTTTTTTTGAGAAAAAAGAAATCTTATTTATTGTAAGAAAACAAACTGTTATAAATTTTTTTGTCCACAAATTATCTTTTCTAATAATCTATATTTTTTTGCCCACCGCAGACGTTATTTAGTTTGACTCGATGTTCTCCACTCATATTTTCTCTTATTACCATCCTCCTTCACAATGTACTTTGAAAATTACCTTTTTTTTGTATGGTGTCCTCACATATGCCAATAATTCAAATTAAAAAATTGTTTTAATTGTAAATATGATGAATTAAAAATTAGTAATGATGAGTTCGAAATATTTTAAATTTATTTTGAGATATATGAAATGTAAGAATTAATTTATTATTCATATTACACTAACTTTAAAATAAATATATTTCTTAAATTTATAGTGATCAAATTTTATTGTGAATGCTCCATTTTCTCATATTTTTTTTATATTAATATATCAAAATTCTTTTTTTTTGAATAACAGAACCTTCGGGATGGATGCACTTGTTTTAAAAGTAATTGTGAAACTGTTTTTTTTTTAATATTTTTAAAAAAATTATAGTTACTGTTATAAATTTATTTTATTTTTAAAAAGTTATGGTGGTATGAAAAATAAAATAAATAGTTTTTTTTTTTTTATCTAAATTTTCATCTAAAAACGACAAAATCTGCCTAGAGCATACTCAGGGTCAGGCCGCCCTCTTCCCGTCGTCCACCCTGCCCAGACAAGCAGCCCCCACACCTATCTCTCTTTTCCCGTTGTCCACACCACTCCCATATTCCCAAAAATTCCTACTTTCCTCTTTTCCTCACTCGCCCGCCGCCATTCTTGTCGATTACCCACTTTTCCCCCTCAAAGATCCCCTTTATTCGCTTAACCCACCACCAAAGCCGAATTTCAGAGTCCAGGACTCAAAAAGGCGAAGTCTTTCCGTGTAGAAAATACGACAAGCCAGCACAGGAATGCAGCAGCCCTCGCATCCGATGTCCCAAATCTCTCCGGGCAACATTACCACAGAGCAGATTCAGAAGGTTTGCTTCCTGTATTCTCCTCTTCTTCCGTAATACCTGAATCCCTAGCTCCGAACCTGTTATATGGGACTTGTGATCTCTGGTAAAGGTCTGATTTTGATCGAAGTTCGTTTCTTTGTGGAAGATAAGATTATTTTTTGGATTGGTGGGGAATAGGACGGATGTGGAGGTGGGGCTGGCCATGCTTGTTTTGTCATTGGTGGAAGATGTGCGCGGGTTGCGTTGCTCAGCTTTCTCCGCTGGCGATGCTCATTAATTGCATCCTGATTCTGATTACTGTAGGATCATGTGCGAAGGAAGGGATAGGAGTTTTGCTTTTTACAGGACTAGTTAATTTCTTACCGCTCGTTTTTTCTCGATAACAGTGTTGGCTTTGAACTCTTGTAAGTTCTAAATTCTTACCGCTGGAGGGTAAAAATAACTCAGCTTAAGGGGTTATTTATTATTATTGAAATATGTCACTAAAAAACTAGCTGACATTTATTAATAATAACTTGACATCAAATATGTAAGTAAATCAAAGAGACTAGGGCTCTTGCTGGGCTAATCCTTGGTTTCAATATTTCACATACCAAATGGTCCACAGCAGGAAAACTATTTCAATGCAGAGAAATTATACACCAAGCCAAAAATTACCTAACATATAAAATTTTATATCAAAGGCACTCTATTTAGGCTACTTAGATGCTAGATTTAGCCAGGACATATGCTAAAAAATTGATAAACAGTTTTTTTTATCCATAAAAATCTTATTATTTTTCATAAATTATATTCTCCTTCCATTTAGGCTAAACCCCGGACTCAGTAAACTCAGGAAGCAGTATTTAAGAGATTTACGCAATTTCTTCTCTTTTACTTGAATCCTAGATCTTAAAACATCACTGCCAAAGGGTATTATACATTTTAACCAAATTTATTATCTACATGCCAAATAGTCTTCTGTATTTAATGCTTCATTATTTCCTAAATCTGATTTTACAAGATTTACCAAATCATACTGGTTGTAAATGAGTTATGTTGGACAAATATGCTGGTACTAGATGGCAGACTATTTCACGGCTTTAATAAGGATGATAAAAAGAAGGGAGATTTACATACATACCACATAATTCTTATGTATTTACATATCTCACACCAAATTTTTAATATTTATTTATATGAACCTCAAATATCTAACATCACATCAAAATACCAGTATTATTATCTTTTTTTTTTATTTCAATACTAATACATCTTTTCATGCTTGCATTTTGATGATATTATGACACTAAAGAATTTTGGTGTTTTGGGGAAGATAGCTAGATCTTCTAACAGCAATAATGTTAGAGCATATTTATGAAAGGGCATAGAAGTAAAAGTTCAATGTGATTGCTTTAAATTCAATTTTGTTGCATGTTCAACTGATAACTCGACAATATACAAAAAAATGTTAGTAGCAGAAGGATTATTTATGGTATTTGAAAGAGTGGATGAATTGATAACTCGCTCTAAACCTATAAAAAAATATCTTCGTATGTAATATGATCATAACTCTTTCAAAATTATCTTTCATGCATTTAAAATTGAAAAAAAAACTAGTTGTATGTCATTCGCTTGTTAGTCATAACTTTGGGCGTTAAGAATTAGAGAAGGGAACTAATTATTAATAAATCCAACATTCTTTAAAGCAAAAGGTTTATTGTATCTAGTGTAGGGGGTGGATTTTTGGTGGGATACATCTTTTTTAGTTTCTTCGGCAGTTTCTCCCATTTTTTCACGTTTGTGCTGCTAAATTCATTGTCTCCTTTGTAAGTGTACTTGCTTAGCTGTGAATGCTCGTCTTCTCCTTCTTTGACATTTTCTGATTCATTTTCTAGTATGCGTGTGACGCACTTGTAAGTTTCTCAGTATTTTTTATTTTATTATTGTTCTTATTTTCTTGCATGGGCTCTTGGGCATGAACTAATGGTTGCATTTATGCATATTCAAATATTTTATATGCCGGTATATATCTATGCTTTTATATGAAAGTGCAAGTATGCATTACTGCTATACTATTCTAATTTTTTCAGCACTAAATTGATCCCTAAGTTTCTTCTGTGCTCTTATAGGATTTTTTTTTTAAATTGCCCACTAATTTGTTTTGTGTAGTATTTGGATGAAAACAAGCAGCTGATTTTGGCAATTTTGGATAATCAGAATTTGGGCAAACTTGCTGAATGTGCTCAGTAAGTAACTGACAAAGTAACATATTCAGATTTTTCATGGCCTTTGTATTTTTTTACAATTTTATGCAAAGTTTTTATTAAATTTATATATAATTAATTTGATTTTCTGTTTATTGTTTCATTTATAAAGTTTTGCGCCACTGAATGCGTAGCATCAGTTGTTTTTCACATTCACAGCACAGGGTATAATTTACTTACTAAGTGAGGGTAACTAGCTAATTTTCATTGATTGTTCTAACTAGTCTTTCTATCAAAGAATCAATAATGATTTATTTATCTTTAAACGTGTGTACTTGGAACAAAGTCCTTGTTATTTTGAAATACTGAAACTGCATATTATTTTTTGTTCTTATGATGTCTTTGATTCAATAGAACAACTTAATTTGGTTAGTATTGTCTTTGAACGGGTAATATACCAATTCCTTAGAAGTTTTCTGAATAAGATAATTTATTTCCTTGGTCAGAACGGAAGACTATGGTGAAGGAGTTTTTCAAACCATATTTATAAAGCTTCATTAGCTTTTATGACACTCAAAAGTTACGGAATTACTCCTTAAATACCAAAATTTGAATTTTTCACATATGCTGCACTCTAAATCATAACGTTAGAACTCCTAAAAATTTCTAGAATTAATCCTTATACACCAAATTCTGAACTACTGCATTTCCAACTTTCTAAGCATTTACCTCTTTTAGAAGTACCAATCTCTTAGACACCATTGAGAATAATAGAAATACTCTTCCATCTCTGAATTTAGACCTGAAATTCTTATAAATTATACCACTAACCAATACTATGGGAGCTGGATGGCTGCATGATGGTGTTCTGTACATAAATATTGAGAGGTGAGCAATTTAAGTCCTGTGTTGGGGAGATCTAGCTGCAAACAAGCACCACATATTGTTGTTCCAGCTGCAGGCAGTCATTGGCAGAGCTGATGGAGTTTAATGCGGAGAGGGAAGATTTTTTTTTTTGTTTAGAAGATAAAGAGTTTGGCCTTTGGATTTATATACATTTTTGTTGGGATAGTTCGATGGAAAGCCAAATATGCGTTGTTTTTTTAGTTTGATTAACCTAATCATGGTTAGAGGCTGGGCAAGGTGTCGCGAAGAAGTGACTTTGGTGCAACTGTGCAAAAGTTAAGTTTTATATGGGGGTTATACATGGCGGAGGAAGGTTTCTCTTTTTTATTGGGGACACAAATTGAGTATTGAGATTATTTCCTCAGTCCCTCTCAGTAAAAACTGTACAAAAGTTAATTTGAATTGTCTGATATTTATTGGCTTTTGAAATGGCACTAACATATGCTGGAAAATGTGTACAAAAATTTGATTTAGAAAGCGTTTAGAAAACCTTTGTACTACATGTTGAAGCTGATAGGACTTGTTATGTATATGCATTGTGTAGACATGTCTATGGAATTTTTGAATTGTTTTTCCTTTTCCCTTTGAAAGGCAAAAGGATGATGCCGCCCATGTAATTACTTATTGGTTACCCTTTTTTTTTTATTTTTGAGATATCATTAACACATATTATTTTTCTTATGTTGTTAACAAGTGGATTTATTACTTTTGCTCTCTGATTTTTTTTATTGTGTGCGTGTGTATGATTTCCATCCGGATCTTAGGAATCATGGAGTTTGGTTGGAGAGGGAGACACCATGAGGGAGTGAGAAGAGATAATCTGAGGTTTAAGATGAATAATAGGGTATTTTGACTCAAACATCATTAATGATTGATAATTTAAACATAAACTTTGAAATCCTTCTTATGTGGAAATAGGAGTATATTAAAAAAAAAGAATTTAAATCCGAATATTTTTTGAAATCCTATCATCTTATTATTGAAAAGAGAAGATATTTATAATAAAAATATTAGGAATCATAAAATACTAGAATAAACTTAAAAAGTTTTGATTAACCTTGATGCATGCCTTGCACCAACTTAGCTTAGATATACTAGAACCCTTTTCCTTAAGTTTCTTGTTGTAACCCTGATTTCAGTGGAATTGGTGGAGGTTGCATTGATTTGTGAATATCACTTGAATCATAAACATTTGTAGTTTGAACTTTGGAAATAAGATCTAGAAGTTTGAGATTTGGTCATTGCCGTGTATCATGCAGTTCTGCTGACAGTAGGAGTTTAATTTGTGTTCTTTCTGACAAAGAAGGTTGTATTTTTTCGAACTTTATATTCTACTGTATATTTGGATATATTTTTTTCATTTTAGGTATTTTTGGATCATATTTGTGACATATAGATCTCAACCTTATGACTAAGGAATAGGGTCAACATTGTTCGATCTTTAAGTTCAATAAATGTCTAAGGGATGACTCCAAGTTCAAGTTCGCAACGGCCTGATTGATTATTGTAGTTATCATTATAAAAGGTGAGTAGTCTTCTAGAATTGTCATTGACTTTTGAATCTTTGGAGTTTGAAAAATTGGTATGTGATTTGATTTTTCATCATGATGAGTTGGTTTGAATGGATACTTTGGAACAACCATATGAATAAACATCACACGACACTAGATATCCATAGGAATATTGTGCATGTTCATATGCATTAACAATGGTGCTTGGAGATAAGTAGACTACGAGATCAATGATAAATTGAGAACCGGATAATCATGCTTTTAATATGATTTGTGGCTCATTGAAACATAACTCATAATAAGTGCAATACAAGCATGTAATAAAGCTTTGATTATATTTGTAATCATGAGACTGGAGTTTTACATGATATTTATTTCATGCATTGCATTCTGTCAATAATCCTCCCATTCATCGTACCACATATTTCATTGATAGCAGTTGATGCATCATATGATTGCCTATTGTCACATATTGATAAGGAGCACCATGATATAGTCATAGTTTTTTCGTATCTGAATTTTGATGCTTATAGAAGATGAAATCTTCCGAATTTGTTATTTTGATTCCAATTCAGGCATGAAAATAGAATTTGATGGAAAAAATGGATGAATATGGGCGGCTATGGTTGAGATGAAATTATGTTCATCTTGAATTTGTCCCTTCAAAGCTTATGCTCACCTGGGTTTCACTCGCTCGAAAGAGAAGTTAAATGGGCTTAGGAAGCAAATAATTGAGAAAGAATAGGGCTTAAGCTCAATTTAGAGAGTGAATTGGAAGTATAGCTCTATGGGAATTAGCGAAGAGGAGACATGGGATTTGTGATTCCTATGAGGGTCTCAAAAATCATGGAGTACAAAAAAAGTAAGAGAGAGGGAGAAAGGATATGTTGAATAAGAGTGAAGATTGATTCTAATTCAGGATATTCTAAGGCCTTCTCAGAGCTTCTTTGATAGGCAGCTAATGTCAAGTGAACAAGTAAAAAGATTATTGAATGGACTTGAAATGACGAAGGGGGTACTCAAGGTTAGAACCTAACACAATATGGGCTAACATTAAAATGTTATTAAAAGAAAATTACTTATATCTTATTACGATCAATTGAGATTATGAATAAGCTCAAATATTTGTTGTTATGGTCTAAAAAAAATCTAAAATTAGGAAGGATTTGAAAACAATATTTTTGGATCTCGGACTGTAATCAAACTAAGAAGATGATGGCTTCCCATTATTTTAATCCACTTATGAGATTTTTCAACTATTGTATTTTGAACAATGACAGATTTCTTGTACTCCAAAATGTCTCTTCATATATTGGAAATTCATATTTTTTGTCAAAATAATCAAGCTCAAACAAATACATTAAGGATAGTAAACATTATTAACGATGAAAAATAAAAGGGAAAGTTGGTAGCTACCACATTATAAGTTAGAATTGACATGAAAGCTTATTTTACTCGTCTCCAAGCAAGGCACTCTGCAAGTGAATGTTCTAGTAGAAGTTTACGCATTATTGTTGAGGAAGAACTCAATGAATGTGATGAAGGGGAAGATTTGCATGAATTTGATGAGAAATTAAGTGATTTTGAAGATGCTTCGATCAAAAATTACTTTTTTATTTTTTTACGTGAGAGTTTTTATTGTCGCTTATACTTAACCTTATTGAAGAGAACTTCAATTTTTTATATCTACTTTGAACATGATGAAAAATTCTATAAAATTATATTAGATAGTGGGAGCTGCTTGATTATGATTGCCAAGCTAGCTTTAAATGCATGAAACGAAAAGCTAAAGCACGTTCACAACCTTACAAACTAGTTGAGGTAGATAAAACAATGATTTTTGTAATCCTAACCTATATAGCCCCCACATTGGTCACATACACCAACATGATTTGGTGTGCATCTTACTAATGGTCGTTGCACATGTCGTTTCATGATGACCCTAGTTGTACAATTTTGACATGACTTGCTTTCGGAATTTTGATATTTATTCATTCAGCATTAATGGTAGGTGGACCATTTTAAAACCTACCAAGCTTGAAGACTCTTGCACATCAAAAGAATCAAGCAAACTAAATGAACATAAGCACATTTTGAGTCAATTGACTTTGAGAAGGAAGGTTAAGTTTTGGATTTATTTTACGCCTTGGCAGTTGTAGAATTAAATCAAAGTGCCATTAAGAACATATTAACTTTTATGTTGTTACCCAGCGTTTCTTTGAATATGAGGAATTGCGTCTTAATGAACTATCTATTATACTACCTCCACTTAGGGCTACCTTACTCATTATTGATTTGATCCTAAGATCATTATTTCCTAACTAGTAGATTGTACATGCAAAATAAAGAAGGTGGGTTAATGAGCTATTGAGGAAAGGATTTTAGAGTGCAAGTCCTTCGTAGTATCTACTTTATTCATATATGTATAACAAACATAAGCTAGATAATATATGTGGATAATTGGCAATAAATAAGATCACGAACAAGTGTCAAATTTTCATATAGAATTCAAGTGATATGTTTTGCATGATGATTGAGGCTATAATTTTCCAAAAATTAACTTAAGAAGTGATTATCACTAAAGTGAGATTGAGAGATGTGTGAAAAGCTATACTTATAACAAAA